CGTGTCTGAATGGAGAATCATGTTACCATCCCCAGGTTCTGACATTCCAGTGTGATGTTTTAAAAGATGTCTAATTATTGGAGTGAGAACAAAAACTGCTCAGTATTCAGTAAAGTCTTTTGACTTCTGTGTCCATGCGTGATATTTCGATGTGATGTTCCTATAAAATAGCCCTACAGATTTTGTATTATCTGTGTTATGACATGGAGTCGATGATTGGCTTATTATCATTTTGTCAGCATAAAAAAAAAACAAAAAATGTTTGAAATTCTGTTAACACGGAATGGCAATGGAAACATAGATATAAACAAACAGTATCAATAACATGGCTGTTACACAACAACGTGTGTATAAGTAATTATAAAAGCCACAATGTATAACAGACAAATGAGAATTTGGTAGTTTTATAATGAGTTTTAAATGATCTGACATTAGAAAGCCTGTAACAGATTTCCAAAGCATAATGAGAAAGTATTCCTAGAGAGTACAAATCGCTTCATACAACAGGAGACCACTGTTGTGTTGACACAGATAACTTGTGCTTACTTGTTCATATTTTTAAAAAGATTAGTGTTTTAAAATGAATTTGTATAACTTAATTATAAAGGCAGTTCTCATAGAGCAAGAAATGTTACTTTGATAGGGTCGGTGCTGCATATCAAGAGGTTGTAAATCATGCAGTGGAATGGAATGATGATTCATAGTCTGGCATCACATAACTTCATGCTCATTAATTATCACTTCACGTCAGTAAATCAGCGATTGTAAAATAGACATTTCAGTCGATAACGTCTTTCATTGCAAATTTACTATTAGACACAGTAGAACCAAATTATGAACAAAATGGCATCCTACAGGTGTTTCGCCCTTCATAGACTCATCAATGAGGTTAAAAGCCTACAATTGTAAACCTAGGAAGCTCCAGAGGAAAATAAAAAGTGATCGAAAGAAACGTCAAAATCTAGATGAGGAAGTTCATTGACCCTGTAATTCAATTCGCAATTCCATACGTCTGTTACGTGAATTTAACGTGTTATATAGATCTCGCTGAAACCGCCAAGACGTCAAGTAAGTGTCTTTCACCTGCAAACATGAAAGACACATAAATTATTGTCGTATTAAGATGATTTTAGGATTAAAAAGGACTTTTTAACATGAATTAAAACTGCTATATAATCGTGTGCAATAAGGTCCAAAAGGGTAACAATGCATATTTCAAACATGAGATGAAGTTTAATGTCAAATTTCTTTTCATATTATTTTGCTGACCATCGGAGTCATTGCTAATTTTTTATCAGAGGTTCGCATTTATATCAAGATTGGATTCTGGAATTTTTCCCGGAACTTTACACTAAAATGACATTTGATTGTGAGGTTTGGAGGGGTTTACACCGTTAACCAAATTTTCATTTACAATAGCAAACATCAGACACTACTGGATGTGGTATGATAGCCCGATCACCTCACACGTTATCAGATAAACATGATCAAGGTATTGCCTATCAGTAACGAGGAACGTGAATCATTCGCGTTAAAGAGCGTTGATGATGGCGGTAAATATACGGACTAAATTGTAATCACACTTCAAACGAGAGAATATAAAAATAAACAAATCGTGTGGCAAGAATGCTATCTGACTCTATGTCTCGCCTGGTGTTTTTCCCTGGTATATAATCGACTGGTTGAATCAATGTTGTTCAATTCAGTAGGGAAAAGTAATGTGTCTCGATTTTAAATACTGCATTGGCCATGGTGTGTCTCGAAGTTAAGATTCCAATATCTGAAATTCTTAAAAGTGCTGATGGTTGGTTTGTTAAAAAAATACAACCATGTAATAATAATATATTAAAACATTATTACCAGCATATAAACTGCATGTATAACTTTTATCGTTAACTTTTTCTATTTAATCACTGAAAATCTTTAGTGTGAGGCTTTTTCTTTCGCTGTTAACATAATTAATATAACACGTAATTAAATGAATGACACAAATCGGGGACCGGTCAGATGGGTATGGTACAATGTATGTCATAATTATATATCACTTAATTTTAACAGGCGGTTTAATGTTTGAATATTACGATTATAAAGGCGTCTTATCGTAATTTGAAAAAAAAAGTTAAATTTAAATTTTATATAGATTGTGAAAATAAAGTAATGTATAGAGAATGGAAAAATAGACTTTCATTTCTGTATGTCGATATAAAATAATGTTTAAACATTGGCGGAAGTGGAGACTTAGCAGCTTAATTAGAAAGGGAGCAACATCTAAGGCTACATTGTCCTGTATATAGCGACATCATCAGGGAATCTGGCATGTCCAGAGTCAGAGTAAATATGTCTTGCTCAAGGGTACACATGTGACAGAGAACTTCAGAGCGTGTTTTTTTAACTTAATCTTGATGAGAAATACAAATTCATTGTTTCAGTAATTAACAATCAAACTCTACTGATTCGAAGAGAAATGCCTTAAATCTTATATATTTGACCGTCAGTCATTGTATCATCAGTCTGGGATTTGTTGGCTAATTTATACGCAGTTAACGGACGTGCAGGGGTCTCTCACCATCACGACAAAATCGTCTGTTATCGAGCTTTTTAAAATTCCTTCCCCTGAAGTGCATCATTGTTTTGTAATTTTTTTATTTTTTTTTTCCAATTTTTATACATATAGATAACAGAACATAAACGTACAAAACTGAAAACATAAAGACACTATAATCAGCTTACATAAGCAAACATTACCTCCTAGCAGAATTCACTCACCATGCACACCAAGCATTGAGTATAGGAGATGAGGGGTAACCTGTATGAAACCTGAAGTGCATCATACTTTCCAGAAATAAATGCAATGATAAATATGATAATGATATTGATTAGAAGAAGAAACTAGTGTCTGTATAGAAACCGCTGCTCATAGGCCTCAAAGCAAATAATATTTTATATATTTCCACGGATTGGTGGGTTAGTTACTAAGTAATAATTAATATTATCACTGATCGAAGTGTCTGCCAGATCGATAAAGCGATTTTAATCAAAACATCCTGATCTATTTTAGAAACTCAAGGTCAATATTCTCACGAAAAATTTGAAATCGAGTAAATATGCAAGTGATGCTGTCTAAACCAATCAGAGTGCACAGAAATCTGACCATTTGTAATAATGTTTTAAATATGTGTGATTTTAAAAAAAATGCAATATTGGAAAGGAATTCCGTAGTGATTGTGACAGGGATGCATTTTGCCGTAGTACATTCATTTCACCAGTTGTTTATTTTTTAATATACTTGCTATATACACATCACTTTTAATTGTAATTATAGCCATCTTCGTGTAGCATGTTCACATGATTTTAATGGAGGCATACTTACCGACCACATAATGTTAATTACATATCAGACAATTTTAGAAAACTTTGTATTTCTGACCTTCCTTTATAACGCCACACACAGCTTTCACAGTGTAACAGTTCTATGTTAATTATTAATTAAGTTATATGGTTGTATAAGCTAGGGAAACTATGGTAACAGCCTGGGGTTAGAAACACATGTTACTCTGTCTAGCCTCCCTGTAGACAGTTTCAGGTAGGATACAGGGGGAAACGTAAACAACAATTTTGAGTCTTGCGGAGATTCATGTAGAATGCAGTCAAAGAAAAAAATAACAATTCCCTTGTCCCATTATCAGTATTAAGTTCAGAGGACAAAGAAAGTCTTCCTCTCTGCCTTCAAAAGTCTGCGATAGCTGGACTTTGAGTTGTTAAATGTTTATCTTCCCTTAAATCAAATGTTAATACCGGAAAAATATTTGTTAAATATCAATGAAACACAACACAGCAAAGTACATTCTGACCTTGTTTTTAATACCAGGTGTTTTTTTTTCTATTGAAAATAAATTATTATAACGAGTAACTCTTTGTCATACCATTGGTATGGGTGGTTTTATATACCACCTTTCATTACGAAATTAAGTTTCCCCATGGTTTCGCAGAGATAACGAGGTTCAGCAGTATATACAAAATGATTAATTACACTCCACCCTACAACTGCTTCATCTCTTTACTCCCCTTTAAACTCGTCGATGATGCTAAAGGTTTGAAATGTGGAGATCTAGTAGGATACTTCAGAAGTCGAAATCGGCAAGAACAACTATTCGAGAATGCACGAGAATTTTCCCTCTAGTATATCTCATTTCTAATAGCAATACCATCTGATAGAATGTCAAAAAGCGACTGGCAGTACCGTCGATAAAATAAAGCTTATCTTGATTTGAAAACAAATATTATGGTATTGATATTTTGACTTGTTTATTTTGAAGGACAAAAAGCGTCAGCACAATATAAGACTACTAATGAATTTTGTAAATAGTGCCAACGATAAATTATTTTCAAAGAAATGAAATTATTTTTTATGATGTTTTAGCTGCTACTTGCATTGTACCATGAGGCGTTTAAATACTTTGCCTTCTATTTGCAGCGTCATATAATAAGTTATTTAAACGATTTGACACAGTTACGGGCTATGTTTTATTAGATAACAATGTTAGCTAGTAAACAGACATGGCCAATATCATTAATCGTTTCCTTTGTAGATTTTTTTATGTGTCTATTTAAAAGTGGTTGAGTAACTCCCATCGACAAGGCTGTATGATGTCCAGACGATGTCTAATTTTCAGCTTTGTTAAACTTCATCTATATCATGCTCTGCCTAGATTTTATGACATCCAAACAATGGCTAATAACACAGACATAGGTCTATGCTATAATCCAGCGTCATGATTCAGTGGTCATACCCCTAAATACAATGGCAGGAGCAAATCAATGTAGAGGACCTGCGATTCACTTTGTCACTTTCCTAACAGCTACAAAATTAAACCAAATTGACAGGTGTTTTACTTATCTGACCCAGATCACAAAACACATCTGCTTTAATGTATGAAAAGCGATATTTTCTGATTAGCTGGGATTAAGGTTACATATTGGAAACTTCATACATTTGGCGGATGATACTTTCAAACTCGGTTTTAGATCTGATCCAGATTGCTGTCTGTCATTGTTATTTAATATCCGCATCATTGAAATAACAAAATACAAGTTGTTCTCATTAACCAATTATCGACCCAATATATTTCACAGTCCAGAAAAAAAACTGTCATTAATTTATGCGTATTATGGAAACTTTGACAATCATCAACAATACTTGTGATATTGACAATCCGCAATTATTCATTTACTATTATCATCGTTTGAATCGTTAGAGTCTCCAGATTTGGAATCATGTCTTCCCATTTTCCACAACAATATTTTTTTGCTATTTATTTGCATCAGTTTCTGTTGGAACCAGCGTTGAGCTGATTGTCTGGTATGAAGTGTTAGGTCCAAATCCTACCTTCTATCAGTCTAATATGCTATGCTTGGGCGTCATGGCTATATTTCATTGACAGAGCATTACGAAAGCGCAAATTGAACATTGTTTACGTATTGCAATTAAGATGAAGGAATAACAGGTTCAAGTCAAATGCTTATTGAGGCCCCCCCCTCTCTCTCTCTCTCTCTCTCTCTCTCTCTCTCTCTCTCTCTCTCTCTCTCTCTCTCTCTCTCTCTCTCTCTCTCTCTCTCTCTCTCTCTCCTAGATGTTTCCTTAAACACCCACCCCGTTTATGCAGATTGTTGCTAAGATATTAAACCCAAAACGAAGAAAGTATAAACCGCTAATGAGAGAAGGCTTGTCGAAAAATTGTTTTCCGTGTTTCTGATCATGTTTGTTTTACTGTTTTACACTAAATGGACATATGGTTCAACATTACTCCTAACACGAAAGGTAAAAGCGGTTTATATCTTCAGCGTACCCATTTAATTATCATTTCCCGGTACATTCCCAAGAGGAATTCGTGGGAAAATGTGAAATTTAATGTCGAATCAACACTGTTTTAACACGTCATGTATGATACTTAATACACATTTCACACGAATCATTACATCTAACTGCCAGGAAATAAAGCGGAGATAAAAAAAAATCTCACATGAACCCCAAGTGTGGACTTTATCCAGGATAAATACATGTTAAGATCTTGTACTAGAATTATAGTCATAATGGTAAAATAGCTATCCAATAAATTTATAACGTTGTCAGTCAACATTCCAGTACTAGAGAACGACTTGTAACAACAGAGAAATGGCTTTAGATGTGTTAGTGCCTGCTTACCGAGTGAGAAGTGTAAATAGAAACACGTCCATTTAGTTAATCATCATCCACACCCAGATATGTAAACACCACAAATATTTTACCAAACCAAGGTCGCGATGTAAATATATAATATTGATACGTGTAAGTACACAAGGCAGGGAATTTTAAGAGATATACATACAACGAAACCAATATGGACAGCTTTCCACCAAGCAGTATGATAAGCGTGATGAAATCTATTCCTTTATTGCGAACTATCCATTTCTGGATAACAACACTCCTGCAACCTATGGCGTTTACATGTCGCAGGTGATTAGGTATTTAAGAGCATTTACCCAATATCACAATTTTCGTGCAAGATCTCGTCAGCTGACGGACAAGTTTGTAACACATGGTTCAAAAGATACAGGTTGATGAAAATTATTGGAATTTTTTATGGTCGTCATAGTAATCTCATTGCGCAATATTCTAATTCTTTGTGGGATATAAAGCCGGGGGTGTTTGATGCTCGTTAGTTTGCCTGTTGGTTCCGTTGGATTGACCAATATTTACATGGAGGGTGTCGATAAAGCAGAAGACGATCACTCTTCCAAAACGCGTGGTCTGAATCTCCTCTTACTTTTCATGATTCTCTTTGTTAATTATTCTTTATTCATGTTTTGTTGTAGTTTGGTTTTTATTAGGAGAAAATGCGAAAGCACAAAGTGTAATCGTAAATGTCGTAAATACTGATTAAGTGTCGGACAATACCAAAATACACTATCAAGGTCGACAAATCATTTCCCAAGTACTGCTAAAAATTCCTGCAATACCAAAACACACAGTCAAGACTGACAAATCATTACCCAAGTACTGCTAAAAAATCCTGACAGTACCAAAGTACACCGTTGATGTCGTCAAACTCTTCCCAAGCACTGCTAATGTTATCTTACAGTATCAAAACACCGTCAGTCTCCTCATGGTCCTGTTATCTTCGTCCTTCCATATAAATATGAGCCCCTCTAAATTGCTTGTTGTCTTTTTTGTTTAAACATTATATAACTTTTTTGATTTTATCCTTCTCTTTTTGTTTCACTGCTAAGATGTTAGTCTTTTTCTCCTTATACTTTTTCAGGAGTCTCTGTGTAAATCTTTCTTTTGTTCATATCTTGCCCTAGATGCACTGAATTTGCGTTTGAAATACGATTATGTTGACATGTTGGTATCTTCTTGGGGTTTTGTTTTACCACTTTTTGTTCCAATCCCATTGTAAATAAACTCTATATATTCCATAGAATTATATCATTTTTGTTTTTTAATTACGAATCACACAAATACATATTTGATATTAACTACAAAAGCGAACAATGCATGTGTTGATACACGCGTAGATTAATCTCTTACCTTCCAGACTTCAACATTGACCAATTGTTTTAGCGTTAGGAGGAACACAGCTGGACATCAGGGTTCAAAGTTCACTTGTTTGTTATAACATACAAATACTCTCATATCTTGCCATCTCATGATGAGCCAAAATCAAATACTTTTATGTGAAATAGTGTAGGTTTAAGCACTACTTATTGGTAAGCTTTGTATTCACTTAAGGATATCATAAAAATACTATTATTGTGCTACTTATAACATGCTATTGAATAAAGCAATGTTTCATTTAATGACAGACAAAGCCACGTAATGCAAAAATATTCCAGTAATTTACGAACAAAATCTCCTCTGGAGAGATTCCACCATTTCACCAGGTTTCATTTCGGACAAATCTCCACCATCTCTGCCACCCATTGAAGCATATGGTGAAACCTGTGTGATAGAAGTAACTTGATAATAAACTGCCGGCGTGGTAGATGTACAGTCTATCCGACGCAGCACACCCCCGTCTAGCTTCCCATGGCGACACAAATAAACCGGTATTAAGTTAGAATAAATGTAGTCAATCCCTATATATTGGTAATACAGAGGCTCAGAAACCTCGTATTAACAAATGTTGGAGTTCGAAAACAAATGTCTGTTTCATTTTTCATGCAGTGGTTATAAGTCGGTTTAATTGCAGTTTCAAGGTTTCGACGTGAATTTTACATATATGTAGCTTACAGCCAATGCATTATGCATACCTTTTAGATAGAATTCTGGTGCAACGCCAAATAACCAATGAAACAACTCGATACGTCAATGTTCAGCTCCTCTGCCCAAGGTAAAGTGTAAACCAGCACGTGTAGATTAGGGGGCTGATGGGAGATAGGTATCTGACGGGACATTTCGGATGCTATTGTGGCCGGCAGTGTTGATCTAAGGAAGTAACGAGGGGGAGATAACTGGCAAATATGCTTTTAAGTAGATAAACAATTGTGAGCAACTGGAGTCGTTAGAAATCTATTAACGGGCCGTTTACGAGAGGGGTCACTTAGAATCATTGGCGTTGTACAGATGTAAATTCTACTAGTGTGCCCATAAAACACTTCAATTGTATTGCCCTTTTGTACCTGGCTTCCTGTATCACCGTGAATATATACATGTAAGTGACCACACGTGCAAAAATTTGTTTTGGAATTCATGGATGTTTTCTGTGCATAGATTTAGAAGTTTCAGTGTAATAGTTACTTTATAACTAACGAATATTTATATGCATTATCATGTAAATGGAGTAATCACTGAAGAGTGGGGGAAAGGACAGATAATTCGAACACATACTTACCTACAAGAATTCTTGGAGAACATTCAGTCATAAATCGATCTATCAAGTGTGTGCATTGTGAATAGACGCAATACACACGCTATCGCACAGATGTTTAAGCGGGAGGAAAACCATCGCTTAATGTATATTCGTCATTCGCGTGACCAAATTTAATCAAAATTTAATTTTTATAGGATTTAAAATTAATTTTTAATTCGGTTTTACGTGATACAGAATTTACAACCAGGTGTTGAATGGTGATTGATTGTGTCGGTTGCGGTGACGAGACTGTGCTAGAGCTTAGCGAGAGCCGTTTGTGTACAGGTCATGCTCCGGAGGGCAAGACGATCAGGCCACACTCTTTATAACACAGCAGCATTACGGAGTATCACCCTGGCTCTCATTGCGCGAAACAGAGCGAACAACTAACGCTTGGATACAAATAAACTGGAAACAGTGTTGTACCTGTTTAAGTACTTGTCCGCAACGCTCTCATACTCAGCATAGTTTGGAAATAAACAGGAACTTTGAGAGACACGTTAGCAGTACTTACATGTGTATGTTGCGTGTTCATTTTTACTTATATTGTTAAGTTGCGTTCGACATCGTCTGTGGATTTTCTATATAAACAAATCAAGCACGTGTGAATGTGAAATATCTTACTTGAGATTATTGTCAAATTATACACGGAAATTTGTTGGAAACGTTAAAGCGCACCCACAAGGAATAAAGAATCTGCAACGAAACGATCTAAGGTATGCTTCAAATGGACGTTTTGAGAGTCATATGAGATAAAGTATAACGTATTCTAAAAGCATGTATTATTAAAACCCTCTTATCTTTTGTCATTACTGCTGTACAACAACAACATGGAGTGCTCTTTAAAAGATATCGAAACGGAAAACAGTACATGTTTCTATGGAAACCAGCAAAAGTTTTTTCTACCGGAGTTTCCAACAAATTTGACATTTCCTATATACGGAATTCTTTGTCCAATTATAGCTATCCTGACACTGATTTCTAACATTATCGTTGTCTGTGTGTTTATGAAAAGACAGATGAGGTCGGTTACGACAGTGTTTTTAGCTGGACTAGCAGTGTCGGATACTCTGTCTGCGGCACTATGGAGCATCACACATTTCTTCTTCTACGGTATTAGGGATAAAACGGAGGAACCATTGTTGTATCCGGATTGTATCTTTCATGACTTTGCGCTCTACTTTGCGGTAATATTTCATACGACATCGGTCTGGCTCACATTGACACTTGGATTGCAACGTTGTGTCATCGTTGTCAAACCATTCAAGGGACCAAGACTTTGGACAATTCGTAAGTCGACATTTATCGCGGTTATGGCCTATTTGATACCGACGATATTTTTTGCGCCACTGTTTTTCATGAAGAACTACTTTCCGTTTCATTTCATTGCGGACGATAACACAACCTCAGTGTATTGTGCGGTAGATGTAGCTCAGTGGTTTAGAAATGATATGAAACCGTTTAGTATTATCTACTACATCTTCCGAGGAGTCTTCGTACAACTTCTTCCGTGTGTATTAATGATGATAAGTACAGCTGTACTAGCATACAAATTACGTCATGAACGGATACTACAACGTCACATGTCACGGATTGTGGACGGACAAAAACGTGACTTTCAGCGCAGACAGCGGACAACTCTCATGGTCGTTATCATCATGGTCATATTTATGATTGTAGAAATTCCGACTGGAATCGTTTTTGGAATTAAATTCTATGAAGACACAACCAACAGATTAGTTTTGACCCGGGAAGTGGATTATCCATTTGCAATATTTCAGAATTTTTTGTTATTATTAAGTTACCATTGTAACTTTTGGATCTATGTCGGTTTGAGTGCACGATTTAGAAGAACTCTTCAGAATTTCTGTTTCGGATATTCTTTAAAGAAAACAATGGAGGAGGTGATTTCTTTGACAACCAAATCCCCTCACAATTCATCTGACCGAAGCATTCGTCAAACCCTCGTAGTTAACGGGAACGGTCATATTTACTCCGAAAGATGACGTCATAAGACAGTATTACGTCATCAATTAATGACGTAAGAGTAAACGTATCGTGTATTTGTCGCATCAAATATATTTAAAGTGGTGATATTTTAAATGATCTGATAACAAATGCTAGAAAGAATTTCCTGATTTTCCTAATATATTGTAATCTATGTACATAGGATTGATATACGTGTACCAATTTGGCGCGCGTGTTCGTGCCAATTTTACGCATGTTTTCGTTCTATGTGAGTGCTATTCTTCAACACTATTGAATGAACCCATTAGATACATCAATGCTTTTTTCACAAATACGAACGTTGGATTCATTAATACAAGATGGTTATTTCAGCCCAGGCTGATGGGTTTTCCATGGTACCGGTAGGATTTGTATTGTTCTTCCAAGATGTGTAAACCGTGTGGGAGGGTGAGAAACAATGGAGGCTTTTCTGGAATCATAACAACTCTTTACGTGGATGTGTGCGGTGGTACCACCGATCAGCAGGCATTTGATGAGGGGAGGTAGGATGATAATGTGTTACTGATGAGATAGCGGAGGGCACATTTCTTCATGTCATGACGTTTTCCTTTATGTAATTAACTTACCATTTGTGTAAATAATGATTAAATATATCATATACCAAACAAAGCAAGTACTTTATATTTCACATTGGTGTAGATAAAGAGAACGTTAGAGGGATGATCTAAACATCTGTTTTGGATTTGTCATACCCAAGTGTATAAATTGGACCTCTTCTCTTTAATACAAGATACAGTTCACTAACATCATTTTCTCGGTATCAATTTTTCAATGAAAGAATTCTGCACGAGAGTCTATGACTGGTAGGAATGTGTCGAAAAATGATTTCGCGAGAAAATCAGTACAGCCATCACTATGAGAGATGGACACGCTTGACTTTAAATGAAAGATCTGGGAATCTCTCACGGTAGATTTTTAACATGATGTTTGTTATATTCAAAATGTAGATATTGTTACTTTCAACACTCTGCTGTATAGAAACAAAGCAGCGTATTGCGACTATAGCGTGACATTTAACATGGACTTTTGGTGAAAGTTCAGTATGGTTTCTTATCAATTTGTCTTAAATTGAAGCAATGAAATATCGTTATATTGCACTACATATTCACCGCAGCCACGATGTCCAATATTCAGCACCACACTGTCAAATAAGAACAGATTATAAATATTCAACATCACACTGTCAAATTATAATAGATTTTCAATATTCAACATCACACTGTCAAATTATAATAGATTTTCAATATTCAACATCACACTGTCAAATAAGAACAGATTATAAATATTAAACATTACACTCTCAAATAAGAACAGATTATAAATATTAAACATTACACTCTCAAATAAGAACAGATTATAAATATTAAACATTACACTCTCAAATAAGAACAGATTATAAATATTAAACATTACACTCTCAAATAAGAACAGATTATAAATATTAAACATTACACTCTCAAATAAGAACAGATTATAAATATTAAACATTACACTCTCAAATAAGAACAGATTATAAATATTAAACATTACACTCTCAAATAAGAACAGATTATAAATATTAAACATTACACTCTCAAATAAGAACAGATTATAAATATTCAACTTTACACTGTCAAATAAGAATAAATTATAAATATTCAACATCACACTGTCAAATTATAAATATATTCAACATCACACTGTCAAATTAGAATAGATTATAAATATTAAACATTACACTCTCAAATAAGAACAGATTATAAATATTAAACATTACACTCTCAAATAAGAACAGATTATAAATATTAAACATTACACTCTCAAATAAGAACAGATTATAAATATTAAACATTACACTCTCAAATAAGAACAGATTATAAATATTAAACATTACACTCTCAAATAAGAACAGATTATAAATATTAAACATTACACTCTCAAATAAGAACAGATTATAAATATTAAACATTACACTCTCAAATAAGAACAGATTATAAATATTCAACTTTACACTGTCAAATAAGAATAAATTATAAATATTCAACATCACACTGTCAAATTAGAATAAATTAGCAATATTCAACATCACACTGTCAAATTAGAATAGATTATAAATATTAAACATTACACTCTCAAATAAGAACAGATTATAAATATTCAACATTACACTGCCAAATAATAATAGATTTTCAATATTCAACATCACACTGCCAAATAAAAATAAATTATCATTTTTACCGGATTAATTTACATAAATCAGTAACGGGGATCATTGTAATATTTATTGTAAACTATAGACCAGATCAACTTATTCCGGGTTGACAGGTCTAGGTGGTTTTATACAGAAAGTATTTTGTCTGACCATCTAGTAGCTAGTGTCGTTTGGTTTGCTACAGTGTAAAGACTTCGTGAGAATTGACTTGATGGATATATATAACTAAGCTTCGACATCCAACAGAGACGTTAATCACATTGAAACTAAATATGACGTCATAATACCAGAAAATTTTTGGTATTGTCACGTTTGTACAATAAGAATATTAACTATGAGATGTATATGTACGCCGATAGACATCCCTATCTGTTCACTTCAGAATTTGTCTGTACACTGTTTGTTTCTACTTATGTTTATGTCATCGACATGACGTCATTTTGAAGCAGGGTCTACATGTGACTGGTGTCTATCTCACTGAGCAACAAGGGGAAGGCCCGCCGCATGCTACTCAGAGTAATAAAAGTCTCTTGTCTACGGACACAATCAAAACAATACAGGACGTTCCTTAATCTCATCTTCGTGAGAACACAGTCATCCCCGAAAGAGAATCGAACCACACACTTGGAATCTTTACTTCAGTTTGAATTATTCCGATTGTCTACTGACAGCACTTTTTAATCCCCAGATATAATTGACACCAAGGTTGTAATTGACTTGTGGTGAGCATTAATTTAAAACATCTTTATCGGTTTTTTGAAGATATTACGTTTGTTAAACATGTTTCTATTGACTTTATTCATTTTTACTTTACAAAATTGATTGAAAAAAAACGATATTCAAGTTTTGTTTGAGTGTCATTTCGATATATAGCATTGTAAGGATTAATCTCGTGATCATCCCCCGTAACCACTACTTCAAACTTTCTCAACAAGAAAACGTGACATTCTAATTTTGAAGTAAGTTGTACTACATACTATGAATCTACTCGTTAATGCTTAAAAGATAACATTGTAATAGGTTTAGATAAAATGTATATAGCTATGATATTTTCATCATCAAATGACATTTGATAGACTTATAAATCTATTACTAGTATGGTAAATATATTGTAGAAAATTAAAACACACATATAACATTAGCTAAATATTTCCTCTGTTAGTTTTTTTCTATTAACATTTTGATTAAAAGCGTGATTTTGAGATCACCTACAGTGCGAAGAAATTTCAGTTAACAGTTTCCAAAAATGGAAATACCAGCCTTTGAAAATTCATAGCCATGATTTAGACAACTAACTCTCCTGCTCTTAATTAAATGTGTGTGTTTTATTCCTCAGTGGCAGCATATTAACGAGATTGCATTTATTTTATATACTTTAATTCCGCTGTGAATTGCTTATCTGGGTCTGCGTCAGAGATAAACATTAGGTATTAATTCACCAAGATAAAATCAGACATCAGATTTGTGTGGTTATGGTTTAATCCAGGACTTTATTTTCTAGTATGAATGCTGTATTCAATCCCATAACTAAGATATCACTGGTTTAAAAAGAGACATATCTTCTAAATTTTAGACAGAGATAATTTGAAAGAAAGATAGTATGTTAAACTGAAACCCATCAGCTGGTCAGTTTTTTATGCTCCACTGGTCAGTATCTGAGTAGCCAGAACAAAGACAAAGTGATTAGTTTACAGTAAAAGGTACAATCATTATCCCCAGCGGAAGTTCCGGTCAGTCTGACTCGACATCCTGTGATGAGAATATAAATAGTCTGAGTACAAAGGCTGCTCCCTGGGGTTTCTTCCCTCCCGTTAACAAATATATTGCCGTGATCCCTACTTCTGGGTTTCATCAAGTTAAAACCAGCGACAGCATGATACTAGTAAACTTGTTTTCAAAAGAAGGATTATGCCTCTCGGACAGGATAAATCAGAAAATCTTCAAGTGCCTGCAAGTCTGTGATATATACATGTTTACTTCTAATAGGCTACCCTTATTACCGAGATTACAAATCAGTGTTCCGTAAATAAATGTTTACCTGCTCCGTACCATATTGTCCACCAGAAGCGTAAACATATAAAAAAAAAACAAAGAAATTAAATATCCTGTTTGTTAACACGAAATTCGCCAGTATCGACCTCGTGTTCTCACCGTTAAACAAAAATTAAATCTACATACCTTATTTACCTGTAAATATCCATTTATTATTGCAGTAACAGAGGAATTTATATAAGTTTATATAATGTAATTTGTTTTCTAATTCTCCTTCATATTTTAAATTTTACTTGTAATTTATCAACTTCAGAGACGGGAACAACAAATAACAAACACTATTTAAAAAAAAAATGATAAACACATAATAATAGAAACAGATGAGTATTGTCCTTCACCAGCATTCCATCTTACACTCAGAAGGCTAACCACTCGGGAAAGTGCACTACAGTATGTGTATATAGTGACATCGATACACCGACTCACTGTTTTAAGTCTTGTACCAAATTAAGGTTTTGTTTGGATACGTTCGCAGACATTCAGCGACGTAACTGTTATTAGGAAGTAACACAGTCTTGTTAATCAATTAGACCAGATGAATATCTGTCCCTAATACACATATCAATCCAAGACTTTATCCAACTTCAATAACAATCTTTTAAATCAGTCTGCCTGATTTATGATAAACGTACAAAATGTACCGTAGATTCGTGACGAACCTCTATTTTTTCTTTTTTTTTTTTAAAAAAAAGGGGGCATTTTAAAGCTGAAAAGTGTATATCATAACCTGTAAAT